GCGGCGCTCAGCAACCCCATTCTGCTGCGGAGAGGCCGGAAGCGTGAAAGTCTGGCGGACGCCGTGCTCCGCACAGAAGGCGGCCAAGAGGTCTGAGGAGAACTCGCCACCTCTGTCAGAGTGCAGACGCAGGACAGGAAAGTCCGACTGGAACCGCTCGCGGAGCTGGAGACGAGTAGCGCGGATCCAGGGGATCAAAACATCAGGGATATCCCCCTTGCGCTGCAAGGGGAAGACCGTGGTGTAGCGCGTGTAGTCGTCGACAACCAGCAGGAAGTACCGCTCGTGGCCCTGTCCACGGACGCGGGCTGGGCCCCACACGTCCAGGTGGAGAGTCTGCAGTGGAGCCTCTGTGGGAGGGAACGAGGAGGAGTGAGGAGCGGCGCGCTGTCGCCCCTCGACGCAAGGAATGCAGGGCGGCGCAGGCGAGGGAGGGAGGGCAGGCAGAGACCTGGGAAGACCAGAAACCAGAAAGCGAGAGTGCATGCTACGAAGGCGAGGCAGGGAGGGGTGTCCCAGGCGGTGGTGCCACAGGAGGGTGTCGTGAGACAGCCGGCGACACTCACACTGGGTAGCTACCTGAGCAGACGCGTGCAGCTGGGGAGACAAAGGGGTGAAGCGGGACTCAGTGGTGAGGGTGTACAGACTGGACCCTGGCGCACGGGTGAACGTGGCCAGGTGGCGGCCGGTCTGGAAGCACGTGCAGATCGCCACACGCTGTCGGCCAGGGGTGAAGGTGTCAACATCCGCATCCTGGAGGACAGCATTGCTCACCAAGTTCGTAGAGAACGAGGGGAGGTGGAGACCAGACAGCTCACCAGACGGGACCGCCGGACACGGAAGCACAGTGGAAGACCGTGCAAGCACTGGGCCCCCAGAGGGGTCAGCCAGTGAGACAGGAACAGGTGTAGGAAGGGGAGTGACTGTGGTACTGTCGCGAAAGAAACAGCGGGAAGCACCAGAGTCAAGTGTAAAGGTGTGCAAGGCCTGTGCAGGCACAGTACCAAGGGGAGCAGACTCACAAGCACCTAGTGCTGCAGGGGCTATACCAGGGGCTATACCAGGATCCGGCGGCACACACAAGTAGCAGTCACCCTCAGCACTAACAGACAATGCATACATAGCAGCTAGAATAGCCTCATAGTCAAGATCAAAGATTGGTACATCACGCCTAAGCAAGTCTGCCCAGTTGGGGAACTCAGTAGCATCAGGAAACTTGGCGCGCCAGGCGTCGCTAAGTCGAGCGAAGCAGCGCTGCTCAGTGTGAAACCCTGTGCACTGGCGATTAGCGCGGGGACCTGTGCGGATGATATAGGGGCAGCGACCAGGACCCCCAGAAGCCCCACGCCCGGCATAACAGTCAAGAAGCTGCTGGGAAGTGGGGGTCTGGCGCTGCTGCTGCTGCTGCTGCTGGCCCTGACCACCACTGCCACCACCGCTCCCTCCTCCCCCACCGCCGCTGCTGCCCCCTCCACCGCCCCCAGTGCCTCCGCCGCCCCACCCACCACCTCCACCCCCTCCACCCCCACGACCACCCCCACCACCTCCACCGCCCCCGCCGCCTGCACCACCGCCACCTCCACCGCCGCCCCCACCTGCCCTGCCACCCCTGCCGCCCCTGCCGCTGCGACGCTTCCCACTAGGAGCGGAAGCAGCCCCGACCTCCTCAGCACCAAGGTAGTCGTGAGCAGCAGCTGCGGAGGCGTAGGAGGGGGTGAGAGGGGAGGGGGAGCACCCCTCAAAGAGGGGAGAGCGAGGAGTACCACGAGCAGCACCTACAGCGAGGATGTTCTTCTCTGCTGCAAGGAGGTGCTTCTCGAAGTCGTCGACAGTGAGAGTGGGGGGGTCTAGCGCTAGGAAGTGGTCTCTGACCGAGCTAAGAGTGTCAGGGAGGCGCGTAACGAGGAAATAGAGAGTGAAGTACATCGGGGGGGGGGGGGGGGGGGGGGGTTGCGGCGCAGAACTCGGCTGAGAGGGCGGCACGAAAGCGAGTGTCAGTAGCGCGGAGGTGAGAAATGAGGTCCTCAGTAGTGGTGAGCGAGGAAAGGTCGGGGAACAGGTAGGGTAGCATGAGCCGACCTATGGCTGCAGTGGCCGGGGAGGAGTAGCGCGCAACTACAGCGTCGTACAGTGTCTTAGCAGTTTTGTGTTGGCTGAAATGCGCGCGCTCAGTGATCGGCAGATGGTTCCTAATAGCTAGGCGTGCAGCAGCATCGCGAGTCTGCCACTGCGAGCGTTCGAGAGCAGGAGCATCAGCAGCAGGAGCAGCGGCAGTGCCAGACACGTAATCGAACAGTGAAACGCCCTCTTTGGCATCGGTCAGAAGGAACAGTTGCAGGTCATCTAGCCACACAGTGAACTCTATGGGGCGACCGTCAGGTTCGAACGCGAGAACATTAGGCGTCGTCATAACAGCAGTAGGCAAAGGCAGCAGAAAGCAGGCAGGCAGTAGACACGAGGCAGCAGGCAGTAGACAGCAGGCTAACACAGAGGCAGTAGGCAGTACAGACAACGTGCAGGGCAGTAGCTTGCTGCACCCGAGCTCCTAAGGTGGGGCTCTAGACAGTGGCAGGCCGTACAGTTCGAAGGCAGCGGACTCGGCAGCAGTGAGCCTCACAGGCAAGTACACTAGTAGACGCGCGCGGCTGCTGGCTGCGTGCGGCTAAGGGCCGCGCGTGGCTCTCTGCTGCGCGTGGCTACGTGCTGCGCGCGGCTCCTGGCTGCACGTGGCGACGGGCAGCACGCGCGGCTGCGTTTTGCGTGCGGCGATGGGCCTAAGCAGGCTACGCGCGGGCAGCGTAAGGGGCGCGCGGGCTCTACGTGGGCTGCGCGGGCGACGCGGACCGGCGCGCGGCTTTGCAGCAGTGGCGCACGCTAAAAAAACAGAGACGCGCGCGCTAGAAACCGAGGCGCGCGCGGGAAAAATAAGTGACGCGCGCTGCAGCCGAGGCGCGCGCGAGCAGTAGGCAAGGCAGGCAGTTAGGTGGGCCCGATTCGTAGGTCCTAGAGACCTCCTGCTCTAGTTACCATGTTAAGAACCTAAGGCAAGAATGAGTGGATTGGGTGAAGGCTAGGGTACAAGACTAGGGTATCGAGAAAGTTTGTGTACCCCCTAGAGCTAACCCCCATACAGCCTAGATGACCTAAACAATCATATATATAATTTGACAGAAGAAACCTTCCCACCAAGGCACTGACAAAGGTTTCATTGCGGCAAAGTACGGTACTACCAGTTGCGTGCATCTTGCTAGCCAGTTGCAAGAGAATGATGTACCAAAATTACTCTGGTAGAGGGCCGTCTCTTATGGTTGGCATCTGTTGCTGGGGATGAGGTACTAAAAGAAATATATCTCTTTAGTTTGATTCTAGTATATACCCGCTCGTCTATGTCATCATCAAAGTTTGCTCGTTAAATTTCAGCAGGTGCCACCATCGCGGCAGTCTGAGACGAGTGATCTGACCACTGACAGTAACCACCTGACTGACGTGGGGTGTGAGGTCTAAACTCAAGCCGCGAAGTCCATCTAGGCACAAATGATTCAGCTTTGCTCTTTTCAGCGTCATCAACATCGGCGACTCTGTTGCTTCAATGTGAAAATCGACGGTCGTTACAGACTGACTGGGGCGCCGCAAGCATCCAGCGAAGGAAATTCATTATCCTGTCACTTCGGCCGACATGGCATTCAGGTTTAGCGGGACCACTCCGAGTCATTCGCATCGCGGTTCAGCCTCCATAAACCATGCGTGGCTGCGAAACCGTTTGGTGGAACTGGTCAGCAATGGCGTACACAAAGTAGGCCGCAGTGCCTCGCCACGTCATACCGTCCATTGTTGAAATGGATAGCCGAGGCGCGTGTGAGCATTCAAGACTTGGCAATTTAGCAAGCGAAATTTCACGCCCTGCACGCCTAGGAGATTTTCGTTTTCCTATGAGCACACGAACAGAACGGAGAGCGTCTGGTAACTCAAATGAGTCAGTTGCAGAGCGTCGGGCCCGTGCGAAAGCTTCGCGACTTCGCTGGTCAGGATAGATGGTCATGCCGTGAAAGTAGTTCCAGCCAGGCTGCGGAGGGTGACGTGGCGAGATGGTGAAGCGAAATGGGCGATGCGGCAAGCGAGATGAGATGGTGGAGCAGGGATGGTGTAGTGTCGGATGGGACATGTGATGATATGAGTTGATTTGAGATGCCGTGCTGCGCTGTGCCGCCACACCGCACCCTGTCCCACCCCCAGCAGTCCGTCCCACGTGATGGTGCCCTAGAAAATCGTTCGAGGCGGCGGAATCGCGCTTTGGTCAGCCAATGCTTCCTAGTCGCTGGTGTGATTACGACCATCGGGAGCTTCTAGAAGCACTCCCATGGCAGGAAGAACTTGGTTTTGAAGGAACGAGGGCGGAGACCATAAGGCACTCCCATGGATTGTCCTGCACATTAGAGCTGCTCCCTAGATTGAAACGAATCTGAATCTTTGTTTATCCTGTTTGACAACGTCCTACTAATTCGTGGTACTGTTAATAGGTCCCGAGTTAGCGCGCGAGTCAAAACCTAGTCGCACGAAATTGTCAGGAGCGCAACGACCGCATAGCTGACTAGTTATCTACCCGAAACACGATGTGAGATTGCTACCACGCAACCTATCGTATATTAAGTGTTTGAAGCCTCTGATTCTTGGCGACTTTCCTGCCTCGCTTTCTAGCGCCCTCTAGCCGTCGAGACGTAGTTTCTCGACTTCACCGTCCAGTCGTCGTTATACGCGCTTATCCGTTCCCTAGGAATCGTCTCTTGTATTTCGAAATATAATGGTTATCTTGTCCACTGTTCCGCTTCCCCGTCTCTTCTCCTAACCTTTTTCTTCACGACTCCCTAATCCTTCCTACTACATTTAAACTCGCATCGCCTTCAACCGCTTGAAAGAACTCGTTACCCGACACATCCCAACTTCAAGCACTCGCGCTTTCCATCCCCGTTGCACGCAGTTCCGCTATTACCTCTCTCGCCATCATGCACGGCAACGGCGTAATCGGCGTGCTCCACGAGGGCCGCTACAAGTGGGAGCGCCGCGCGCCGCTCACCCCCGCGCAGTGCGCGCGCCTCCTCGCCGCTTCCGCGAACGGGACCGCCGCGGGGCGCGCGGCGCACGGTGGGCGCGCGGCCGCCGGGTCGATTCGCATCATCGTGCAGCCAAGCAGCAAGCGCGTGTTCGCGGACTCTCAGTACGAGGACGTGGGATGCGAGTTGTCTGACGACCTCTCCGAGTGCGGTCTCATCCTGGGCGTCAAACAGCCACCGGTAAGCGACTCTGTGGCGCCTCAAAAGCACGTCGTTCCTGAGAAATTCCAGAACGAGGCCGTGGGATGCGAGATTTCTCACGACCTGTCCGAGTGTGGCCGTATTCTCGGCGTCAAGCAGCCGCTGGTAAGCGTCGCGGCTGCGCGATATACGCTATCGGAGACGAGAAACGGAGATATGGGGCTGCGGGTTTCAGTGCCAGTGATGGTAGTTGAAGGCTCCAAACGCTATCCTATATTCCTGCTTTACCAACACCGTCCTTCCTCTTCCTCCTGCCACTCGTCCTCCCCGTCTTCGCTCTTTTTTTTTTCTCTCTCTCTCTCTCTCTCTCTCTCTCTCTCTCTCTCTCTCTCTCTCTCTCTCTCTCTCTCTCTCTCTCTCTCTCTCTCTCTCTCTCTCTCTCTCTCTCTCTCTCTCTCTCTCTCTCTCTCTCTCTCTCTCTCTCTCTCATTCTAAATCTCTCCCTCTCTACCCCTCTCCATCCCGCTCGCCCCTGTACCCCTTTCCACCCCTCTCGACCACTCTCTACCATTCTCCCTGCAGCTGGGTACGCTGCTCCCCGACCGCTCCTACACCTTCTTCTCCCACACGCACAAGGGGCAAGAGGAGAACCTCCCGCTGCTCGACGAGGTGCGTTTCTTGTAGCGCTCGCTGCATTTTTAGCGCCTATAGCGCCTGTAGCGCCACTTTTGAGTTTCCGGCGGTATTTTTCTCTCCCACACGCACACGGGACAAGAGGAGAACCTCCCTCTGCTCGACGAGGTGCGCTACTTGTAGCACGTCTGTAGCGCCCGTGGTAACAGTAGCACCTGTAGCAGCAGTGTGTGCCACCTGTGGTTTTTTGTGCTGTAATGAAGTGGTCGTAGTGTTTCCGCTGTGCTTATATGGGTCCGCTCGAACGGCGTTCGCTCTCACTCACTTTCCCCCGCGTCCCGTGCAGATCCTCGCGAAGCGCGTGTCGCTGTACGACTACGAGCTCATCGTGGGCGATGACGGGCGGCGCGTGGTGGCGTTCGGGGAGTACGCGGGGCGCGCGGGCATGATCGACTGCCTGCGCGGACTGGGGGAACGTATGTTGGGGGGAAGGGGGGGATCGAAGGGGGGAAAGAAGAGGGGAGGAGGGGGAGGTGGATGGGGGCGTGGGGGAAAGTGGCGGGGAAAGGCCTGAAGGGGGCGGGATATGGGGAATGGGCGGAGACGGGTTGGGGAAAAAAAACCTCAAATTCTAAATCTGCAATTTATTCACTCTCGGCAATTCAATCTTCGCTCCCAACAAGGCGCCTCGAAGCCCAACTATATTATTCTCTGCTTTAATCCTCTCGTAGCCCCTTCCCTCCCTTCCCCCCTCGCCTCCCTCTTCCGCAACCCCGAACACCTCCCTTTTTCATGCACACTTCCCTCTCGCTCAACCTCTCCCCCCTCTTCCCGACCCCCTACCCTTCTCCCGCTTTTCTCCTCCTTGCTCCCCACCCCTTCCAGGATACCTAAATCTGGGCCACCACACACCGTTCCTCTCCATCGCGTCGGCCTACATGAACCCCTCGCTCCATGCCCTTCTCCCCCCTCTCCCCCTCTCCCCCGCCCCCTTCCCCTTCTCCCCTCCTTCTCCACCGCCCCCCCCCCCCCCCCCGCCCCCTTCCCCTTCTCCCCTCCTTCTCCACCGCCCCCCCCCCCCCCCCCCCCCCCTCCCCCCCTCTCCCCTTCCGCCCTTCTCTACAGGCTACCTGAATCTGGGCCACCACACGCCGTTCCTCTCGATCGCGTCCGCTTACATGTACCCCTCGCTCTCCGCCGCCAAGGCCGCCGTGGTTGCCGCGGGCGACGACATCTCCACGCACGGCCTGCCGCCCGCGCTCGCGCCGCTCGTGTTCGTCTTCACTGGCACGGGGAAAGGTGCGCGCGGAAGGGGGAATGGGGGGGGTTGAGGAGGGCGCGATGGGGACGTAAGGGGAAAGGGGGAAGGCGGGAGGGAGGGGAGATTGCGTCCCGCGCTCGCGCCGCTCGTGTTCGTCTTCACTGGCACGGGGAAAGGTGCGCGGGGTCGGGGGGGGGGGGTGGAGGGGAAGGGGGGGAGGAGAGGGGCGAGAGGAGGGGGGGGGGAAAGGGGGAGGTGGGGGGGAGATTCAGAGGGTTCCGGCCCGCGCTATCCCCGCTCGTGTTCTTAACTGGAACCACCAGGGTTATTCTAGGAATCTTTCACTCGCAAAATTTCCCAGCCACTATAAACCCTGAACCTTGTACCCTGTTTCCCCGCTCCCTTCCCCCCTCCCTCGTCCCCCTCCGCGCGGCCCCGTCCCCCCGGTGCGCGCAGTGTCCCAGAGCGCGCAGGAGATATTCCGCCTGTCATGTTTCAAGTGGGTGCCTCAGAGAAAACGCATCCCCAGTCCGTCTTTCTTTGCCCCCTTCCCACCTCCTCTTCCCCGCTCCCACCCTCTCTCCAACCCCCTTTCCCTCCCTCCCCCTCCCCCCCCCCCCCCACGGCATGATGTCATCAAGGTAGAAAAGCACCAACCCTCCCACATCCTGCTTAGGTACCATGCCAACATGGGGCTGCATCACCAACAAGGACATGCACACATCATGCCGCTCAAAGGGAAGGGGTTTCGTAAGCATGTCTACTGCTTGGCGGTTGGCCTCCCTCCCCCTCCCCCCCCCCCCCCCCCCCCCCCTCCCCCCCCTTCCCCCCCCCTTCAACCGGTGCGCGCAGTGTCGCAGGGCGCGCAGGAGATATTCCGCCTGCTGCCGCACCACTTTGTGAAGCCCGCGGACCTGCCGCAGCTGCTCGCGCGCAAGCCCCCCGCACATGTGAGTCCGCGCGCCCTTAGCCGTGCGTGTGTGGGGAGGAAGGAGGGTGGGGGGAGGGGAGGGAGCTTTCGGGTGGGGTGGAGAGGGGGAGGGGGAGAAAGGGAAAGTTGAGGATGGGTATGCGTGCGTGTGTTGGAGTGTATGTGTGTCTACATGTGGGGGGGGGGGGGGGGGGGTGCTTGTGATGTGAGGCCAACACATATGATCCCATGCCTCTCACTGGACTGGGAATTCAGGGTTCAGGGTTTTGGAGGCTCGGATTTAGGGCTTTGGACGCGTTTCAGAGGGCAATCCAGTCGTGTGCGCAAAAAAAAAATCCCCACTCTCCCTCTCCGTAATCCCCTCTCTCTCGCCCTTGCTCTCTCCCCCTCTCGCTTGTTCTCCCCTCCTCTCAGTACTCTCCCTCTCTCTTCCTCACTCCCCCTCCCTCTCCTTGTATCTCCGTCTCTCTCCCACTCATCCCAGGGTCACGGCTTGGACCCATCACAGAAGGTGATCTATGCGTGTGTGGTGGAGGCGAAGGACATGGTGGAGCCCATCGACAAGGCGGCGCACCCCACCTTTGATAAGGTGAGCTGGCTGTTGCAGCAGCAACTAGTGAGAGCAACTCTGTCGAATAAGACCACAGTGCAAGACAGGTTTGCTTGTTTGCGTGTGTGGTGGAGGCGAGGACATGGTGGAGCCCATTGACAAGGCGGCGCACCCCACCTTTGATAAGGTCAGCTTCTGATTCGGTTAGCTGCATACATCCCAGCGTTTAAAGGCCAGGAAAGACATGGTATGGTCTGGATGGACCCCCTTCCTCTCTCCCTTTCTTCCTTAACTATTTGCAACTCGGGGTGACTGCGTAGTACCCTCTTTTTTTTGTGCTATTCTCGGCGGTCCTTTGAGTGGATTCAACTGCCTTTTAACTTGGCTGATGCTTTTCCCACCTATCTCGTTTCGTCTAACCCATGTTTTTTCACATCCCCCCCCCAACCCACGCCACCCCATCCCATGCCATCCCATCCCGTCCCGTGGAACGTAACACAGGAGCATTACTACGCGCATCCCGACCAGTACCGCCCCATCTTCCATGAGACCATTGCGCCCTATGCCACCGTCATCGGTACGTCCCGTGCTCCCGTGCTCCCATGCTGCCATGCACCATGTGCACCACGTGCGCAATGCAACAACTCCCCTTGCTTTCCTCCTACCCGCCCCATCTTCCATGAGACCATTGCGCCCTATGCCACTGTCATCGGTACGTTCCGTGCTCCTGTATGCCATTGCCATGCACCACGTGTGCCATACTTTGAACTGAATGGTGACCATGCACCATGTGCCGGCATACACACCATAAGCTGCAGCGGACCCTGTTTCGTCGTGCACGTGTCGTACTGTTCCGGCGTACTGGGAGCACACTTTCCCCGGTCTGCCTGCTCTCCAACGAGCACCTCAAGGCCCTGAATTTATCAACCCCTTCACCCCAAGGCCTCCAATTCTTCCACATTCCCCTCTCCTCCCCCCCCCTCCCCTTTCCCACCAGTGAACTGCATGTACTGGGAGCACACTTTCCCCCGCCTGCTGTCCAACGAGCAGCTCAATACCACGCCAGGAGAGACCAAGACCACCAGGCCTCCACGTATCCACCCCACTGAATCTCTCCCATCTCTCTGCCCACCACACCTCCCCCCCCCCCCGCCCCTCTCCACCAGTGAACTGCATGTACTGGGAGCACCGCTTCCCGCGCCTGCTGTCCAACGAGCAGCTGAAAGCCCTCGCCACGGCCACGGACAGCGAGGGGAAGGCAGTGCCGATGCGGCTGGTGGGCGTGGCGGACATCACATGCGACGTGGGAGGGTCCGTGGAGAGCCTCACCCACTCCACTGAGATCGAACGCCCCTTCTTCCGGTGGGTTCGTTGCTCCTTCGGTGATATGAGCGGCCTTTGGGGCGGGGTTCTCCTTGTCGCCCATTGTCATCGCCCATTGTTGCCAAGGCTGTGGTCGGCAAGGGCCTAGAGCAAGAGGCGTGGGGGGGTCCGTGGAGAGCCTCACCCTCTTCACTGAGATCGAACGCCCCTTCTTCCGGTGCGTGCCTGGGATTGCCCTTACTTTTCCTCTCAAACGAAGGAAGAGAGGGAAAGAGGGAATCGTGTGCGAGAGAGTGTGGAAGTCATGTGTTGGGTAGTGAGAATCGTTGTGGGGGGATAAGGAGGCGTGGCGTGGCGGACAGTGAAGGGCGGGTGGTTCCGATGAGGCTGGTGGGCGTGGCGGACATCACGTGCGACGTGGGGGGGTCCGTGGAGAGCCTCACCTCCATTCTCTCTCACCCGTTCTCCACTCCCCTCTCCTCCTTTTTTCTTGCTTTCCCTCCTCCCCACTCTCCCCACTCTGCCAGCTACGATCCAATCAAGAACACCACGCACGATGACCTCGAAGGTCCAGGAATCTTCTTCGTAGCAGTCGACATTCTGCCCTCCGAGCTCCCAAAAGAAGCCACCAACCACTTCGGCCAGGCGCTCTTCCCCTTCCTGCGCCACCTCGCCTTCTCCCACCCCTCACCTCCATTCTCACTTCCCTTCTCTACCCTCCCTCTTCCTCCATTCTTCCCCTTCTCCCCTCGTCCCCTACTTCCCTCCTCCCTCCAGCTATGACCCCATAAAAAACACAACCCACGACGACCTAGAAGGCCCCGGGATATTCTTCGTGGCAGTGGACATTCTGCCATCGGAGCTCCCAAAGGAGGCCACCAACCACTTCGGCCAGGCGCTCTTCCCCTTCCTGCTCTGCCTTTTCTCTGCCCCTCCCTCACCTCCGTTCCCACCCCTTCTCCACTCTCCTCCTTTCTTCCCGCTTTCCCTCCTCCCCCCCTCTCCCCTCCCCTCCGCCAGCTACGATCCAATCAAAAACACCACGCACGACGATCTCGAGGGCCCAGGGATATTCTTCGTGGCAGTGGACATTCTGCCATCGGAGCTCCCAAAGGAGGCCACCAACCACTTCGGGCAGGCGCTCTTCCCCTTCCTGCGCCACCTCGCCTTCTCCCGCACGCCCGAGGACGCCCCGGCCGCCATGCAGCGCGCGTGCATCACGTACGGCGGGCACCTCTGCCCGCTCTTCGAGTACATCCACCGCATCGCTGCTGCGCGCAAGGCCGAGTGAGTTTCCTCCTCCTTGCTGTGAGCATCGAGGCTTGTTTCCGAGGCGCCTCAAAATCTGAGTGAGTGGTGATTGCGTGCTTGGGTTGCGGATGGTGGTGGTGGAGGAGGGGTTGTGTTGAGGTAGATGTTAAGGGGGGGAGGTCATCTCGCCTTCTCCCGCACGCCCGAGGACGCCCCGGCCGCCATGCAGCGCGCGTGCATCACGTACGGCGGGCACCTCTGCCCGCTCTTTGAGTACATTCACCGCATCGCCGCTGCGCGCAAGGCCGAGTGAGTGCCGTGCCGTTTCCTGTGAGTGAGTTCTCCTTGCTTGCCTGTGAGTGAGTGGTGGTGGCGGTGGTGTGGTAGTGGTGGTTCTTCTGCGCGCAAGGCCGAGTGAGTGCCGTGCCGTTTGCTGTGAGTGAGTGAGTGCTCCTTGCTTGCCTTGAGCTCCTTGCTGCGTTGCCAGGTAAGGGGCACCTAGTCAAGTCACGGTGCCCGCTCTTTCAGTACACCACCACACCGCTGCTGCTTGCAAGGCCGAGTGAGTGCTTGCTATTGGTTGGGGTTAGTGGCGGTGGCGGTGGCGGTGGTGGTGGTGGTGGTGGTGGTGGTGGCGGTGGTAGTGGTGGCGGTGGTGGCGGTGGTAGTGGTGGTGGTGGCGGTGGTGGCGGTGGTGGCGGTGGTGGTGGTGGCGGTGGTGGTGGTGGTGGCGGTGGTGGCGGTGGTGGTGGTGGTGGTGGCGGTGGTGGTGGTGGTGGTGGTGGTGGCGGTGGTGGCGGTGGTGGCGGTGGTGGTGGTGGTTCTTCTGCTGCTGAGCTGTCTCTTCTGAGGTGCTTCCGAGGGCTGCTTGGAAGGAAGGTTCAGTGAGTAGTTTGTTTCTTAAATCGTCGTCACCTATTGGTTGCACCTGTGTCTGAATTTTTGAGTATAATCAGTTCAGGCTGCCAGTGACACCTGCTTCAATAACACTTTTGATTCTACTCAAAAGTGCATTCACATTCACATTCTTTGTACTCGTTTGCTGCTCCAATAGCACACTCCGTTTGAACGAACTCTCACAGCATCTGTGTGTGCTGCGTGCTGTGTGCCGTGTGCCATGTGCTGTGTATGTGCATGATGGCAGGGCGGAGGCAGTCCCATCAGACAAGAAGTACACCACTCTGGTATGTATGCCCCCTCTTACTCTCCTCGCCGCTTGCTTGACCTCCAGTCTCACTGTGTGCTCTCTGTGTGCGCGAGCCGTGTTCCACTGAGCCTTCTCTCACTGCAGTGACTTTTGGGCTGCTAGGATTCACCTGGTGTGACCTCCTCCCGTTGTGCTGCACTATCCTAGTGCTGACCTGAATTTGATCCTGAACATGTTGTTGAATCCAATCCACCAAGACCTTGCAATGACACACCTCAGACGGTACGGCCTAACATGGTTGTTTACATGTTCTTTCTTTCTTTCTTTCTTTCTTTTTCTTTCTGTCCTTCTTGCACTTATTAATACTCCTCTTTTCACCCCTCTGTTGCTCCCTCTGCCCCTCCCACTCCCTCCAAATCCCCTTTCACCTACCCTTTCTCCCCATTCCTCCCTAATCTGTTGCCGTAACTGACATCGAACCCTGTTTCGTCGTGCACGTGTCGTCGCCCTTCATTGGTGCCTCTTGGTTTCTAACTCCATTTCACGTCTCACGTTTTGACTTAATCTCCGGCTGGATTCACGACTGCCTGTTTCTCCCTCCCCCGCTGCCACTGGTTTGTATGACCGCTGATGATCTACACACCTCCTGTCCTGCTTGTGTTCCCCTTCCAAAACCTTTCTGCTTGTCTTCCGGAACTGTGCCATGCATTTCCTTGTTGCCGTCACACCCCTTGTTTCACAAGATGCTGAGATCTGCTAGAAATAACCCATTCAAAACTCCAAGCTGCAAACCCCCAAACCTCCAAACCCTCTCCTTGAAACCCTCTGTCTCCAAGCCTGATCCCGAGCCTGAGACCGAGACTGTGCCCGAGCCTGAGCCCAAGCCCGAGCTTGCTTCCAAGTTTGTCCCAAAGAAAGGCTGTGCTATAGACCCTTCAATCCCTGCTGCTACCACAATAAACCATGCTGCCACCTGTGCTGCGCCTCTAGTCAAAACCCGCGTTCACCTGGTGTGCAAGAGGCTACAACAGCAGCAGGGGCACAGGCACCTGGTGCTGTTGAGTCTTCAGCACCGTTCCAAAGCCAAGGGCGTGCCTAGCAACCATAGCAGAAACAGTTGCACGAGTTGCTGCACTTGCAATATTGGCTGCAGCAGTTGCGGCAACTTCGGTAGCTCTAGTAGCAGCAGTAGTAGCAGCAGCGGCAGGGCATTGCAGAGTTTGAAACGGCATCCTCCTGGCCTGCTGCACCCGTGTACTCACCACGCTCAGTTGCACTCACGCACTCACCACCAGCAGCAGCAGCAGCAGCAGCAGCAGCAGCCGCAGCAGCAACAGCAGCACTGCCACCACTATCACCAGCACCAGCACCACTGGCACGTGCAGCTTCCCCCGGCTCGTGTGACCCACGGGCCTGCCTCACCCTAGCTGACTCCTTCACCCCCTTCCCTCGCTGAGAATCTCCCCTGCTCCATCTGTCCCTGCTACTTTCTGCCTTCGGTGCCTCCTCTGCTGCTTGCCGCCCTCAAGGCACAAGACTAGGGAGTTGGCTTTTGTTGGCAAAAGCATTTGGCGTGGTTGTAAAACAACAAGGGCAGGCACGGACAGTTTGTGATGGGAGGTTTTCATAAGGGGAAGGGACGCCCACTGCAGCACCCAATTTTCTCACTCTCATCTCCTCCTCCCCATCCTCCTCGTCCTTCTCGCACCCGCTCCGCTCTCCTCTCTCTCCTCTGACTCCTCTTCCCTCCTATCACTCTTACCTCTCCTTTCCCACCTCGGGTGCTGCACGTCACACCTCCAATCCAAGCTCGTGTTTGTGTGTTTGTTTACACCCTCGTGTGTGATTGAGGCGTCTCAGAGCAACACCAAAACAGGCCCTTGCAGGTCGGAATCTGCAACACTTTTAAACAATCCCCAACAGTTCCCAACGACTTCCAACGATTCCCATCCATCCCCAACGAGTGGCTGTCTGTCTCTCTCGTATTCGCCAGGAGAGGGAAGCGCGCTCGTCACTATAATTGCACGTCCTCTCCTCTCCTCTCCTCCTCCCTTCTCCCCTCCTCTCCTTTCCCCTCCTTCCCGCCCCTCCTCCTCCCTCCCTTTCCTCTCCCTTTCTCCTCTCCTCCCCACCCATCCCACCACACACCCCACTCCACCCCACGCACCCGCACCTCGCCTCACCGCACTCCACCGCTGCAGGTGTCCCTGAACGGGCACCTGTTCGACCGGTTCCTGATCAACGACGCGTTGGACGTGATAGAGCGCGCAGGCGGCACCTTCCAGCTCGCCACGTGCCTCGTGGGGCAGTCCGTCGACTCCAGCTCCTTTGCTGAGATCCAGGTGAGGATGGGTGCAGAGTGGTCTGATTGAACCGGGAAATGGGCGGAAAGGAGAGAAAGGGGGGAGGATCACGTGTGCCTTAGGGAGCAGTCGGTTGGAGAGCGGTGCTGAGGGGTTTGACGGTGGAAGGGGGAGGTGGTTTCACTCGTTCCTCTAAACGACCTGTGAGAATTTCTCAACGAAGAGCTAGCACCTCAACGACGCGTTGGACGTGATAGAGCGCGCGGGCGGCACCTTCCAGCTCGCCACGTGCCTCGTGGGGCAGTCCGTCGACTCCAGCTCCTTTGCTGAGATCCAGGTGAGGATGGGTGCAGAGTGGTCTGATTGAACCGGGAAATGGGCGGAAAGGAGAGAAAGGGGGGAGGATCACGTGTGCCTTAGGGAGCAGTCGGTTGGAGAGCGGTGCTGAGGGGTTTGACGGTGGAAGGGGGAGGTGGTTTCACTCGTTCCTCTAAACGACCTGTGAGAATTTCTCAACGAAGAGCTAGCACCTCAACGACGCGTTGGACGTGATAGAGCGCGCGGGCGGCACCTTCCAGCTCGCCACGTGCCTCGTGGGGCAGTCCGTCGACTCCAGCTCCTTTGCTGAGATCCAGGTAACTATGGTTGAAGTGCAGTTTGAGGGAGGGAGGTTCATGCGTCCAGCTCTTTTGCTGAGATCCAGGTAAGGTGGGTGGAGAGGGGTTTGAGGGTGGACTTGGGGATGGGGAGAAGAGAGAACATGTGTGACTTGTTCGGCTGTACTAAACATGCTTGCTGTCGACATGATCGTGCGTGCCCCACACACCTCCCCCTCACCTCCCCACACCTTTCTCCTCCACTTTTCAAACCTACCGTAGGTGTCGGCCACATCGGAAGAGCAGCTAGCAGGGATAGTGAACGCACTTGCAGAGATAGCGCAGAAGGCGGAGGGGCACGCCCCCGCGCCGTCTCTGCTGACGCCCTTGCTGCTGTGAAAGCTGCCGCTGCCGCTGCTGCTCTTGCCAAGGAGGAATCCCAATCCGCTTCTGCTGCTGCTGCTTCTGCCCCCTCCCTCCCTTCTGCTGCTGCTGCTGCTCCCTCCCTCCCTTCTAATCTACCCTCCAGGTGTCGGCCACATCGGAAGAGCAGCTAGCAGGGATAGTGAACGCACTTGCAGAGATAGCGCAGAAGGCAGAGGGGCACGTGCCGGAGAACCCCCTCGACTCGCACACCAACAGCTCACGCTGCCTCTTTCCACCCCTTTCCCCCGAATATCCCCCAGGTGTCTGCCACATCAAAGGAGCAGCTAGCAGGGATAGTGAACGCACTTGCAGAGATAGCGCAGAAGGCAGAGGTTCCCGAGAACCCCCTTGACTCGCACACCAACAGCCCCCGAGCCGTCTCCGCTGACGCGCTCGCTGCTATGAAAGCCGCTGCTGCCGCTGCTCTTGACAAAGAGACTCAAGCCGCTGCCGATGCTGCTGCTGCTGCTGCTACTGCTGCTGCTGGTGCTGATGCGGGTGCTGCAACGGGTGGGGAGAACGGGAATGTGGATGAGGGAGTGGGTTTGGGGGTGGGGGTGGAGGAGGGGAAGGAGGTGGAGTATAAGTGGAGGGTGCTGGTGCTGGGTGCGGGGAGGATGGTGGTGCCTGTGATAGATACGCTGGTGCGGTTTGGCGATGGGGAGAGGTGGTGGGGGGAGGAGGAGGTGGGGGAGGGGGAGAAGAGGCATGAGGCTCTGCATGTGACTGTGGCGTCTATGTTCCTGGAAGAGGCGGTGAAGGTGAGGATGTCTGGATGCATTTATGTGTGCGGTGTGCGTATATGCATTTGTGCAGAGTGTGTGCATGCATGCATGTGACGGTGGCGTCTATGTTCCTGGAAGAGGCCGTGAAGGTGAGGGGTGTATGTGTGTGGGTGTGCGGTGTATGCATGCAAGTGCCAATGCATGTATGTGCGCGACTGTGACTGTGACCTGGCGTCTATGTTCCTGGAAGAGGCTGTGAAGGTGAGGGGTGTATGGATGCATGTATGTGGGTGTGCGCGTGGGCGTGTGGGTGTGCGTGCGCGTGGGTGTGTATGTATCCATGTCTGTACACCTGCATGCATGTGACTGTGGCGTCTATGTTCTTGGAAGAGGCCGTCAAGGTGAAGGGCGGGGGTGTGAAGGTGAGGGGTAATGGTCTATGTATCCTTCAGTTTCTTGCATGTTCCACCACCCCTCTCCATCCCTCTCCATATGTCATCACATAGGGCACAGTCACACTCACCCTTCCTCACAACCCCTCACAACCCCTCACCGCACATCACCAGGCAGTGGAGGGCTTCGAGCACACGCACCCCATGGAGCAATGTCCATGCACACTCATCGCTCAACCTACCCCACGCTACCCCACCCTACCCCATCACATCGCACTGCACACCACCAGGCAGTGGAGGGCTTCGAGCACACGCACCCCATGGAGCTGGATATCAGCGACACTGCCAAGCTTGACGCTGCTGTTGCACAGGTGAGAGCTCGGAGCCATCATTTTCATCGTTGTGCCATCATGGGAGCATTTGAGAGTCAGCAAGCGGCACTGGTTGAGTGGGAGCATGTGAGAACAAGGCTCTGCCTGCCATCATGTGTGTTTCAGTGTTTCAGTGTTCAGAGTTCACCACCACCACCATCACCATCACCACCACCACCACTCAACCAATGCCAACTGCTTTAGTGTTCAGTGCTTCAAGGCCTGCTGCTTCCCCCGTTGGCCATCTCTTCCGTCTGTCGGCCTCTTTTACCGGTGCTCTGCTTCTTCTGAGAGGGGGGAGAGAGGGGGAAGGAAGGGACGTGATTTACTGGTGCTCTGCTTCTTCTGAGAGGGGGGAGAGAGGGGGAAGGAAGGGACGTGTTTTACCGGTGCTCTGCTTCTTCTGAGCATCAAGAGTGCTCCGCTTCTCCTGTGTTTTGTTCTTTGTGGCACTTGAGTCGACGCGAAAGTCACCTTGTTTCTGTTTTGTTTGCCTGCGTGCATGGCACGTGTCCTTTTCCTGCCCTCCTTTTCCTCGCCGCAGGCCGATGTGGTGATCAGCATGCTGCCACCTGCATGCCACATCACTGTGGCCAATGCTTGCGTCAAGGTATGTACGCTCTTTCACTCGCACTCGCACTCACACTCGCACACGCATTTGCATTTCCTCTCCTTCCCTACTCCGATCCTGCTTCCGATTTTCCAATCCTCCCTTCACTACCCCTGTCGCCTCCTGTTTCTGCCCCCTGCTCTCCTCTCTCTCAAATCTCCCTTCACCCTCCTGGCCTTGCTCCCCCTACCCTTTCCAGCGAAAGCTAGATAGACCTCATGTTGTTCCATGCTCATGTCGTTCCATGCTCTTCTCCCTGTCTCTCCTCCCCCTCCCTTGCTCAGGGCGAGCAAGCACCTGGTGACAGCATCAATCGTGAGCGCACAGATGGCACAGCTGAGCCTCAGCCAGCCAAGCCATCCCCACTGCCTTATTGCTCTCTCCTTGTCCCCCCCCTCCCCTTACCTCCCCCACGCCTTGTCAACAGGCGAGCAAGCACCTGGTGACGGCATCGTACGTGAGTGCACAGATGGCGCAGCTGGATGAGCCAGCCAAGGCCAGCGGGGTCACGGTGCTCTGCGAAATGGGGCTGGACCCTGGGATTGGTGAGTGGAGGGGAGGGTGGGTGGGAGGGAGGTCTGGACCGTAGTGTTTTCTGTGTTCTTGAGTTGACTCACGAGCCAGCCAAGGCCAGCGGGGTCACGGTGCTCTGCGAAACGGGGCTGGACCCTGGGATTGGTGAGCGGAGGGGAGGGTGGGGGGAGGGAAGGTGGCGGATGGAGGACAGGGCCTTAGTGTCTGCCGTGCTGTGTGTTGTGCTTTTGAGATGGCTCATAAACCAGCCAAGGCCTGTCGGGTCAGTGTGCTCTGTGAAATGGGACTGGGCTGGACCCGGGCCGGGCATTGGCATTGGTGAGAGAGAGGAGGGTGGGGTTTATTGTATGCCGTATACTCTGTGCTCTTGAGTCTGGGCTTGGTACTCTGGGTGCTGTGTCTCTGTGCTGTATGCTGTTTGCCGGGTTTCTTGGTCTTCATTCATTCTGCTGCTCCCTGACACTCGGACAGAATATCCCTGTTGCCTAACACGTCCTCCCCCCCTGTCTTCTCCGTATTTCTGAGCCCAGACCACATGCTGGTTATGGACATGAAGCAGCGCATAGAGGCAGACGGCGGCACCACCAGCCCTTTAAACCTGGTCAAACCTGATATTCCCCTCTCGCCTCTCCCTCTCCCCCCACTCCTCTCCAGACCACATGCTGGCTATGGACATGAAGCAGCGCATAGAGGCGGACGGCGGCACAATCACGTCCTTTGTCTCTCTCTGCGGCGGCCTGCCCGCGCCCGGTGCTGCCGACAACCCCCTGGCGTACAAGTTCAGCTGGAACCCACGTGGAGCGCTGCTGGCAGGGCGGAACTCGGCTGTGTACAAGAAGGACGGCGCTCTTGTTGCCGTCAAGGGTACGTGCGTGTGTCTTGGATGTCTTGTGTGGGGTGTTTGTCGTGTGTGACTGTGGGGTAGGGTGCTGCCGACAACCCCCTGGCGTACAAGTTCAGCTGGAACCCGCGTGGAGCGCTGCTGGCAGGGTGGAACTCGGCTGTGTACAAGAAGTACGGCGCTCTTGTTGCTGTTAAGGGTACGTATGCTTGGAGTGCATCTAGTGTGAGTGTGGGGTGCACTGTGCACGTGGGGTGCACTGTTTTGCTTCCGAATTAATCCCCAAAAAGCCTGCCTTGTTGGACTTTTCAGCAAGTTTTGAGGCGACTGAAAAGGCGGCCCCCTCTCCCCTCCTTTCTCACCTCCCCCCTCTCCCGACCCCCATCAGCCCAGACCCTCCGTCTGCTGCACTTCCCCGCGTTTGCACTCGAGGTGCTGCCCAACCGGGACTACTACTATGCCGACTACTACGGGCTCAGCAGCCCTGAAGTCCCCTCTTCCCTCTCTTTCCCCTTCTCCCATTCCCTTCCCCCTCACCCCTCCCCTTCCCCTCCCCCTCTCCCTTCGCCTTTCCTCCGCTCTCCCCCACCCCACGCACCAGGGGAGGACCTCTTCTCCTCCGCCCAGACCCTCCGTCTGCCGCACTTCCCTGCCTTTGCACTCGAGGTGCTGCCCAACCGCGACTCCCTCGGCTATGCTGACTACTACGGGCTCAGCAGCCCTGATCGCACCGTGGCTGCTGCTGCTGATTCTGCTGCTGCCGCTGCTGCGGTTACCGCAGAGACCATGTTCCGTGGAACCCTGCGCTATGAAGGTGAGGAATACCGTGATCTTCTTGTGAGCGCTGCATTATGGTTTCTCCTCCATACTGGCAGGCCTGGCAATGGCATCACTCGGTCTTTTCAGCCAGGACCCGCACCCGCTCCTCTCCATCCCCCTCCCTCCTCTTTTCTCACCCTCAGCCCACTCCTCCCTCCCCTCCTACCCCTTCTCAGGTTTCTCCTCCACAATGGCGGGTCTGGCCTCCATCGGTCTCTTCAACCAGGACCCCCACCCTCTCCTCTCACAGGGAGTGCCCTCTCTCCCTCATCTCACCCCTCCCCTCACCTCCCCTCCCCTCTTTGCCTTCTCAGGTTTCTCCTCCATAATGGCGGGTCTGGCATCCCTCGGTCTCTTCAACCAGGACCCCCACCCTCTCCTCTCCGTGCCTCGCGCCGCCGCCGCGGCCATGCAAGCCGAAGCTGACCCCACCGCACCAGCCACCACCGAAGCCCCGCGCGACGACGACGACGCGCCCCTCCCGCCCTACCCCACCTATGCTTCCTTCCTGCACGCACTGGTTACCACTGCTGGCACGGCTGATCCTGCTGCGGCTGCTGCGGCGGCGGAGAGGTTGGTGGTGGAGGAGGATTTGGGGAGTGCGGAGGCGGTGCCGGCGGTGCTGCTGGCGGTGCAGAAGAGGCTGGAGGAGCTCGGACTGGGGAAGGACGCTGCTCGCGTTGTGAATGCTGTGAGGTCAGTGGTGGTGCTGTGCGGTGCGGTGCTGAGGGGTGCTGTTGGGTGCATTTGTATGTGGAGGGGTGCGGTTTTGTGTGGTGGGGGGTGGGGTGGTGGTAGAATGTTGGGAACGGAATCGTGTATTTCTAGTTTTTTCCAGGCTGTCAGTCGTTTAAAATGTTGCTACCATGCGAATGTTTTACTCTCTCCCTAACACTCTCCCTTGCTTGCAGCTGGCTGGGCCTGGCGGCCAATGAGGATGTGCCAGATGGCACGAGCAGCTGCTTCGACCTGCTGTGCCATCGCATGGAGGAGAGGATGAAGTTTGGGCCGAGTGAGAGGGTGAGTGAAGGGGGATGAGTGCATGCTGGATGTGTGCTGTTCCAATCCAAGAGCCATATAGGCTGGACTCTCAAAGGCTATGCCATCGCATGGAGGAGGGGATGAAGTTTGGGCCGAGTGTGAGGGTGAGTGCTAGGGGTGAGTATTGGATGAACGCTGGCTATTTAGAGGATGAGTAAAGAAAGCATATGAAACATAAATTCCTTGCAAAGAGTACTCCAAACAGCCAGCGAGAGGGTAAGCATGTGGAGTTCCCTTGACCTCGCTAACCACCCCGGTGCAAGTGCAGAGAGAGGGGGGGGTGTTTGCCACGTTTCTGTCTTGTCAATTATTGTGGCCGAGACACTAGTGCCAAGAGAAAGTGCAAGTTGACCTACCTGGTATTGACATATGCCAGGACATGGTGCTGCTGCATCACGAGCTGGAGGCACCATTCCCTGATCGGATGACCTCTGAGTTGACTCCAAATTCTTCTCCCCCTAAATCCCCATCTTCCTCTCCCTACCCCTCCCCCCCCCCCCCCTGCAGGACATGGTGCTGCTGCATCACGAGCTCGAGGCATCGTTTCCTCATGGGCGGAGATTGCTTTATTGTTTTAACACTCCCAAACTTTCCTCCTCCCTCCCCCCCCTGCCAGGACATGGTGCTGCTGCATCACGAGCTCGAGGCATCGTTCCCCGATGGGCGGGCCAAGGAGAAGCATTCAGCCACGCTGCTGGCGTTTGGGGAGATGGATTCTGGAGGCGTGTCCGCCATGGCCCGCACTGTTGGCCTGCCCGCTGCCCTCGGCGCCATTGTGAGTGCGAGCGTATGCATGCATGCATGCATGCACACATGCAGACACCTTAGCATTCACACACACACACACACACACACACACACACACACTCACGCGCGCACACGCACACACACACACACACACACACACACACACTCACGCGCGCACACGCACACACACACACACACACACACACCCTGTAAGCATGCACACATGCTTACACGTCTTAAGCGTGCTCACACGCACAGACATATTCACCATGCTCACACTTTCCCCTTGTTCCGCTGCTCTTCTCCCCTGTTTCCCCCATGGTTGACCTGCGCGCCAGCTTCTCCTGCAAGGCAAGGTGCAGCAGTGTGGCGTTCTCAGGCCTGTCACCAGCGACATCTATGCACCCTGTGAGCTCATGCATGCACCCTGTGAGCTCATGCATGCACCCTGTGAGCTCATGCATGCACCCTGTGAGCTCATGCATGCACCCTGTGAGCTCATGCATGCACCCTGTGAGCTCATGCATGCACCCTGTGAGCTCATGCATGCACCCTGTGAGCTCATGCATGCACCCTGTGGCCGCATTTATGCACCATTCTGGTGGTTCCCCTTGTGCAATCACCTGGTCTGTGTATGTTGATTTTCTTCTCCTTCAGGCCGTTTTTAGCAATCCCGGATCCCGCACTTACTTCATTCTCACTTCTCCCCCCTTCGTTATTCTTCCCTCACCACCCTCCCTGTTCCTTCCCGCGCCCCCCCCTACCCACGCTCACCCTGTCTGCCCTACACCTGCTCACTCCTTGCCCCCTGTGTTCAGCCCTTGTTGCCCTGGCCAAGCTTGGTGTGCATTGCAAGGAAGCATCAGAGAAGCTTCTCTGAGAAACACGTGGGTCTCTTTGCTTGGCACAGCACGGCACAGCACAGCAGGGCATGGCATGCTAGCTCAAGGCACCAACGACTGTGATGCCTTGTCGTTGGTCAATTGATCTTCCAGCAACTGCAGCAACGTGTATTGTGGGGAGTGACTACCTACTTGGTGGTTTAATCAAGAGCTCACCACCAAGCCATGCAGGAGAATCAGAAGCAAGAGATGGATGAGAAGGATTGGATTGGAACCTGGAAACGGGAGCAGCACAAAAGAGATGGTTGGGTGGGTACTGGTAACTGCTCGAGCTGCAAGAACAAGCCGAATCACTTTGGATCTGTTCAGCAGCAGGACAACCCTGATGACAGCGTAAGCTGCATTTGCATCACTCCCAATCAGTGGCAACGCTATTGTGCAGCTGATTCCGATTACCTCAGGCATGCTGAAAAGTGCTTACTCCACACTGGCGTGCAGCATCTCTAGGTCTGGCTGTTGCGAGGGGGGTTCTAGTATCTTTTTGGAAGGTTAGCCCATCAGTATGGTAGTCAACTTGCAATAATGTTTTTTCTTTCTTTCTTTGTCCCTAGTTTCTGTTTGTTTTGCTTTTGTTTATACTGCCATTGTCTTCCCTGAGGCATGGCTTCTCTTGATGCCTGGGCAAGTCGTTTTGGTGGCTATTCTGATGTTGCACAAGCCAGACTAGCTTGTCACTGGGTGTCAAAAGAGGAAGCTAGGCCTTGGAAGACTTAGGAGCCATAGCTAGGCAATCACGGTAGTTACGAGAGGGAAGGGAGAAGCAATAGTTGGCCAACAAAAGAGGTGTTGCACTATAGGGTTTGGAGTACATATAGGCAAGAAGCAAAGGGTGCACCACCAACAGTTTATAACATTAACTACAGTAAGTAGGATATAACTGAAATATAACTTTGACACACCCCCTTAGCCTGATTGCGGTAGGAACTTGTGCAGTCAGCACCCCCTGAAGGAGTAAACCAAGAGCAGTGGAAGAAGGCAGAGAGGTAAGGAAGGAGGAGGCAAGAGGAGAGGAGAGAAGCGGAGAGGAGGTGGGCATGAGCGCGCACGCTCAATGCGATCGCCCCCCATTAATAACCCCTAAGTCCTCACCCCTCTTTTCAGTCAACCCCTTTAACCTCACTCCCTTCGCACCTTTCTATTTCCGCCACCCCCTCACCCTGCTCCCCTTCTCCCCCCCCCCCCCCCCCTCCACGGCGACAAGCCCTGCAGGAAGAGAGATGGGAGGGACGGGCTGCTGGCTGGTCACCCCCGCCACCCCCACATCTCTCCCCCCCTCCCCCCCATGGCAGAAGTCGCGGAAGGGAAGGGGGGAGCGGCGTACGGAGCTTCTGGCACTAGCGCTTCGCGGCTGGCGCAGGCGCTGGTGTCAAATCTGATTTATATGTTTGTAGGCTGTAGTAGAGTAGCCTGTATAGAATACAACACTTTTAGGGTTTGGTACTTGTACTTTGATTCCTTGCTAGTGAACTCATTCATGCTCGTTAGTTTTTAACATGGTTTCAGAGCATTACCTAGTGACCGACTGTGGTTACCGCGTTACCCCACGCCCTGCTCTGCGCTGCGCCGTCAGCGCGCGCCCTGCCCTGCCCTGCCTTGTGTCACACTGCCCGTGTACGCCCTGCCCTGCGTCGCGCTGCCCCGCGCACGCCCTGCCCTGCCCCGCGTCTCGCTGCCCCGCGCACGCCCTGACCTGCCCCGCGTCGCACTGCCTCGCGCACGCCCTGCCCTGCCCAGCGTCGCGCTGCCTCACGCACGCCCTGCTCTGCCCCGCGCCCTGCTACCCTGCGCGGCGTGCCCTGCTGCAGCCCGCGCGTCGCGTTCTGCTGCTCCGCGCATCGCGCTCTGCTACAGCCCGCGCGTAGCGCCCTGCTGCCCTGCGCGTCGCGCCCTGCTGCAGCCCGCGCGGCGCACTCTGCTGCCCCGCGCGTCGCGCTCTGCTACGCGAGTTCTGGAGGTACTCTCTCGCCGCAGCAGCTACGCGAGTGGTACGCTCAGCTCTGCTGGAGCTGGAGGCACTGCAGCTGGAGCCACTGGAGCTGGAGGTACCGGAGGAGCTGGCACTGCTGGTCCTGGAGGTGCTCGTACTGAAGGTACTGGAGCTGCCGGGGCTGGTGGTGCTGTTGGTGCAGGAGGTGCTTGTCAAACTATATATGTGTTAGTTCTGTGTAGGCTATAGTGGGGTAGCCCATATGGGGTACAACCCAAAGTTAGGGTTAGTACTTGTACCCACATTTCATTCAATGCAATCATTCCTGCTTGCTATCTTGACATGGTTTCAGAGCAGTAGGTCCGCAGGACCGTTTTTTTTTCGGGCCCACCATACTTAGCTTCCGACTGCGGTTACCGCATTACCCCACTACCCTGCGTCGCGCTGCCCCGCGCACGCCCTGCCTTGCCCCGCGTCGCGCTGCCTCGCACACGCCCTACCCTGCCCTGCCTGGCGTCACCCTGTGCCAGCGCCCTGCCTTGCGCCGGCGCCCTGCCCTGCGCCAGCGCCCTGCCCTGCGCCAGCGCCCTGCCCAGCGCCAGCGCCCTGCCCTGCGCCAGCGCCCTGCCCTACGCCGGCGCCCTGCCCTGCGCCAGCACCCTGCCCTGCGCCAGCGCCCTGCCCTGCGCCAGCGCCCTGCCCTTCGCCAGCGCCCTGCCCTGCGCCGGCGCCCTGCCCTGTGCCAGCGTCCTGCCCTGCGCCAGCGCCCTGCCCTGCGCCAGCGCCCTGCCCTGCGCCAGCGCCCTGCCCTGCGCCTACGCCCTGCCCTACGCCCGCGCTGCAGCCCTGCGCGTCGCGCCCTACGGCAGCCCGCGCGTCGCGCGCTGCTGCCCCGCGCGTCGCGCTCTGCTGCACCCCGCGCGTCGCGCCCTAAGGCAGCCCACGAGTCGCGCGCTGCTGCCTCGCGCGTCGCGCTCTGCTGGAGCCCGCGCGTCGCGCCCTAAGGCAGCCAGTCACGTCGCGCTCTGCTTCCCTTCGCGTCACGCACTGCTGCAGCCTGCGCCAGCGCCCTGCCCTGTGCCAGCGCCCTTCCTTGCGCGCGCTGGCGCCCTGCCCTGCGCCCGCGCCCTGCTAAACCCTAAATATAATTAAAATAATAATAAAAAAGGCCCTAGGTGCTTTTGCCCTAGGAGCTACTACCTGCTATTGCCTGCTACTGCCTTGCTGTGGCCGCGCGCCGCCCTGCTCTGGCTGCACGCCGCCCTGCTCTGGCTGCACGCCGCCCTGCTCTGGCCGCGCGCTGCCCTGCTGCTCTTACTGCTGCTGCTGCTACTCGTGCTACTGCCTTCACTCCGTACTGCCCTAGAGGTCGAGCTCCTCCTAGCTTGCCCGCCATGACTTCCCTTTGTCGTACCGGTGGGAGTGGTGACGGCGGTGGTGGTAGCAGTGGGAGTGGTGGCGGCCGTAGTAGCATTCACTGTGGCGCTGTTTGGTGCGGAGTGTCTGGCGATGGCCAGATGCAGCTACGGCGGCGTCCGACCCTTACGCCCCGGCAGCTTCGTGAGTGGCTTTACCAGCGTGGGCCGTCTCCGAGTCCGGGTCGCTGCCAGTACGTCATTCGCACAGGTCGTCGAGTTGGTGAGACCTGTGGGACACCTGGTCACGCACAGTCCGCTGCTTCGCCTATTTGACTGACGCCTAGCGCACAGAGTTTGGCGACGAGGCTGAGATCCCCCCCTGGCTTGAGCTACTTAGGTCGGGTGTTGCTGTCTTTGCTTTAAACTATGACGCCATCCTTACTGCCATGTCTGCTTTGCCTCGTGGTGCTGAGAGTGACTATCACCTGTATGTACAGTACGACCCTGGCATAGAGGTTGCTGCTCTAGGTGCTAGTGAGGCTGCTGCCTTAGGTGCTAGCGAGTCTGCTTCCTCAGGTACTGCGCCAGCTGATGCCTTGCACACCTTCACGCTTGACTCAGATGCTTCCCGTTGCTTCTTCCGTGACAGTACTGCACTCACACCACTCCCTGCACCTGTTGCAGTCTCTCTGGCTGACCCCTCAGGGGGCCCAGTTCTTGCACGGTCCACCACTGTGCTTCCGTGCCCGGTGGTTCCGTTTGGCTCACTGACAGGCTTCCACCTCCCCTCGTTCTCTACGAACTTGGTGAGCAACGCAGTTCTCCAGGACCAGTGGGTTGACACCTTTACCCCTGGAGGACAGCGTGTGGCGATCTGTATGTGCTCCCGGACCGGCCGCCACCTGGCCACGTTTACCCGTCGGCCAGGGTCGAGTCTTTACACACTGACGACTGCGCCTCCTCAGGTAGCTGCTATTGGTCAGGTTTCTTCGTCAGGTCAGGTAGCCTCCCTTGTGAGTGTCGCTCCCTGTCGCACCAGACTCTTCTCTGGCACCACCGCCTGGGCCACCCCTCCCTGCCACGTCTACGTGGCATGCACCGTCGCCTCCTTGTGTCTGGTCTTCCCAGGTCTCTCCCTCCCCTCCCTGCCTCGCCTGCGCCACCCTGCCTTCCTTGCGTCGAGGGGCGGCAGCGCGCCGCTCCTCACTCCTCCTCGTTTCCCCCGACAGAGGCTCCTCTGCAGACCCTTCACCTGGACGTGTGGGGCCCAGCCCGCGTTCGTGGACAGGGCGGTGAGCGGTACTTTCTGCTGGTTGTCGACGACGACTCGCGGTACACCACGGTCTTCCCCTTGCGCACCAAGGGTGAGGTCCCTGCTATCCTGATCCCTTGGATCCGAGCAGTTCGTCTCCGGCTCCGCCGCAGGTTCCGCCAGGACCTTCCTGTCCTACGTCTGCACTCTGACAGAAGTGGTGAGTTCACCTCCGACCTCTTACGGGCCTTCTGTCAGGGGGAGGGCATCGAGCAGTCGTTCACGCTTCCAGGCTCACCATAGCAAAATGGGGTTGCTGAGCGCCGCATTGGCTTAGTCATGGAGGTCGCTCGTACCTCCTTGATTCATGCGGCGGCTCCCCATTTTCTGTGGCCGTTTGCGGTCCGGTACGCCGCGCAGTAGCTCAACCTCTGGCCCCGT